AATGATAGAATAAAACAGAGACAAAAGTCACGAACAAGAAAAGTAAAGGTATGCACACAAGTGTAAGCCAAACAAATCTATGGTGACTACTCCAACTGGGCCCCCATAAGCCCAGGAGGTACACTCCTGCACAAATTGAAGTGAAAACCCGAACGGACCCCCATAAGCCCAACAAGTACACAGAGAAGCTAGACTAAGACTGAAAGAAATTTGTAAACCCGAAGCATTATAGAAATGTCAGTATTCCCGAGCTAAGAAAGAAAGGAAACACAGAGCCTCGACCTCGAACCGTAAGTGAGTCTGCCTATAGTAGATACACCGATAAACCCAATTCTTCAAAGGATACGACAGAGCCCGGACCTCGAACCGCGGATGTCGACTACCCATAGATAAAGTGATATAACCCAAGGGGGGGGTAGACTCTATATGTCAACTCCATTATAGGAGGGTAAATAACCAGCAGCAGTAAGAACAGAGCCCATACCTCGAACTGCGGGTGAAACCTCCTGTTAAGTTACCACAACAGCGTAAAGCTTCAAAAGAAGTCATCCAAGGATTCCGGCATCTAAAAGTCATGGGCAACTCTTCGTAACCATCTTCAATATCCTCTAACCATCTCACGGTGATAAGAGAACCGAACTGAAGCAGTATGTATCACTGAACGGGCCTAGAGGGCGGCCGGAAATGTAGAAAGTTAGGATCATACGATAATTATGGATGTTAAGGACCCACAACTGAGTCACTGCCTAGCTAAGGCTCATCTCTATCAAACCCAATTTTGCTATATCAGTCTACTAGCACCTACGCCGCTTAAAGTCACACTGAGGAGGCAATAATAAAATCTATCGGCGCTGAACAATCGTGAGTCTATGACATTACTAGTCTAAGTCTATACTAAGGCCAAACATGCTCCAATATAACTCATAAGTCAAAACAAGGCAAATCAAGGAAGCAAGAATGATCAAATATAACAATTCAAGTACCCACTGAACCCGGAAACAGCCTAAATATGAATTTTATCAAACATAGCATGCTATTCTAGTTCCCCCTCCCCAATAATCATGCAAATCCACATACGCTGACACATTCAAACTCAATTTAAAAGAAAAGGGAAGTCGTAGCCTACCTGTAGGCTGAACACGCGCGCTCCAAACTACTTCGCCGGAGTTTTCTTCCTTCCGAACAGCCTCGGATCGCTTCCACGCTGTCAAACATAGAATCACAACGTCGTTACGGTCGTTTAGACAATAAATTCGCAAGAAACAGAGGTGGACTAATTTTGGGGTAAAAAATGGGGAAGTGGGACCTGCACCAGAAATTGCGAAATTAACCCCAAAATAAGTTCTAAACAGCTCTCCGAACTTGTGTTACAAATTGGAACACAATTTGGGGTTCGGAACAGTCCAACACGAACATGCAATGAAAAACCCAAAATTACACTAAAAATGAACAACAATGGCAGCTTCTATTTACAAGAAATTACAAGAAATGAGGGCCGAACTGCTGAAACCAACCACACCATGACGATCCTCATGAAAAACACCACAATCTAGCCATTTCAATCACAAAATTCGAACCTAAAAAGTCCAAGAAATCATTTTCCAAAGTTTCCCAAAAATTGAGCTCGAAAATGAGCTATGGCAGCAGCTAAAACATAATTCTTACTTTTAACAAAGCTTCAAATAGAAATTCCAACAACGTCAACACGTTCTCCTTGAAAACCCACTCAAGATAGCCCCAAGAATCACCGAAATCGGAACTAAAATGGCTAAGATATTGGTTCTAAAAAATTCCCAAAATCAAGCTCACAAAAAGTGTCGTGGCAGTAGGTATTTCACAAAATTTACCTCAAACGGAGACCTGAAATAAGTTTCCGAGCTAGCCAATGCGTTCCTTGTGAAAAACACCACAAGATGGACCTTCGAATCAGTAAAATCGGACTTGAAATAATAGAGTTATGAAGGTTTGAAGTTGAGAAATGAGGCTGAAATGGCCTGCACCAGCTATATATATCAGTTAAAAAGCTGATTTTTTATGCCAACTTTAAAATTTCCGATGGGGTGCTCAGGATTCGTTCGGAACCCGATAAAAATAAAATAGATATGTTACCCTACTAAATCCGACATTCTAGACTCAACGGCACAGTTTAAATTTCCATCAGAGGTCATCTCGATAAAAAGTGGGTCCCACTCCCGAAGGCCATTTTAAACCAAAATCCACCGAGGGGCTCACAATTAGTTCGTAGGCCTCGGGAGTCGAATTAAAGGTTGTTCTAGGAAAAACTCGACATTCCGAGTTTAACTGCGCTGTAAACAATTTCATTCAGACACGTTTTCCAAGAATGTTGACCAAAGTCAACCGTTGGTTAGTTTTCAAGTCTAAAACGCTAAAAATGGTTTAAACTCGCATCGAAAGCCTCTGGACTCGAGTCAACAATACTTCTAGACTAATTTGACCATTACAGAACTGATGGACTTGTTAGAATTCCATTCTGAGGCCATTTTCCTGATGAACTGACTAAAAGTCACTTTTCAAGCTTTAAGGCCTCTAAAACACAGAAAGCTGCACAAAATCCAAATGAATGACTAGGCAATCAAAATGTCAGTGCCAGCAAATCAGAAATGACTTGGGGTCGTTGTAGGAAAGCTCTAACCGATGAAAAGAAGGCGGGTACATAGAAATGACCTGGAGGGTCATTACAACATCCACTACTAAAATAACTTTTGTCCGCGAAAGTAAAGATAAGGATATACCTGAGGCTCAAATAAGCTGGGGAACTTCTCCCACATCTCTTGCTCGGTCTCCCAAGTAGCCTCCTCGACTGGACGGTGTCACCACTGGACCTTAACTACAAGAATGGACTGGGAACGGAGTTGACGAACATCTCTGGCTAATATGGCTACCGGCTCCTCAACAAAGGTCAGGTTGTCATCCAACTCAACTGAATCGTACTGTAGCATATGAGACTCATCTAGAATATACCGGCATAGCATCGATACATGCAAAACTGGGTGTATAGCTGAAAATGTAGGAGGTAGGGCTAACTCATAGGCAACATCACCAATCCTCCTCAGGATCTCAAAAGGCCCAATATATTTGGGGCTAAGCTTGCCCCGCCTTCCAAACCTCATCACACCCTTCAAGGGCGACACCCACAAGAACACCCGGTCACCAGTACCAAAACATAAAGGATGACGCCTGCGGTCGGCATAATTCTGGTGCGTGCTCTGAGCTGTCCTCAGCCTATCTTGGATCACCCGAACTCTCGCCAAAGCCTCCTGGAGTAAATTTGTACTGTATGGCCAACCAATTGGAGTGGGACAACGCCTACCATATAGGGCCTCAAACAGGGCCATCTGAATACTCGAGTGGTAGCTGTTGTTCTATGTAGACTCCGCCAAGGGAAAAAACTGATCCCACTGACCCTCAAACTCCAACACACAGGCCCACAACATCTCCTGCAGGACCTAAATAGTAAGCTCCGACTAGCCATCGGTCTATGGGTGGAAAGAAGTGCAGACATCAACCCTGGTGCCCAACTCTCTCTGAAATGATCTCCAGAATATGGATTTAAACTGAGACCCTCGATCTGATATGATGGACACCGGTACACCATGCGACGGACTATCTCCTGAATATAAACACGGGCCAATCACTTTGCAGTGAATGTAGATCGAACTGGGAGGAAGTGAGCAGACTTGGTCAATCGATCAACAATGACCCAAATTCTATCAATTCCCTTAGGAGTTCGAGGAAATCACATCACGAAGTCTATGGTGATAGGCTCCCATTTTCACTCAGAAATGGGTAATCTCTTAAACTCTCCACCAGGCCGTTGATGCTTGGCCTTCACCTGCTGGCAACTAAGGCGACAGTAATATCTCTCCTCATGCCGTCCCACCAGTAATGCTGCCTCAACTCTTGATACATCTTTGCTGTGCCCAGATGAATAGAATATCTGGAATCATGGGCCTCATGAAGAATCAACTGAATCAAGCCCCCAACTCTAGGAACAAAAAAACGGTCGTCAAACCGGAGAACCCCATCTAAGCCTATAGTAGACTAGCCACCATCAACCTATAACACCTGGTCTCTGAGGGCTGCTAATGACTTATCCTCGTACTTTCTAGCACGGATCAGATCAAATAGTGAGAATTAAGCCCCGATAAAGGTCAATACTTGCATAGAGTTTGAAATATCTAATATGATCATCGTGTTAGCTAGAGATTGAATGTCTAAAGTCAGGGCCGCTCCACGGTAGGTAAGTTAGCCAAGCTACCCATACTCCCTGCCTTCCGGCTCAAGGCATCAGCTATCACATTCGCCTTGCATGGAAGGTAGAGAATAGAGAGGTCATAATCTTCCAGAAACTCAATCAAGCGTCGCTGCCTAAAATTAAGATCCCTCTGAATCATAATGTACTGTAGGCTGCGGTGGTCGGTGTAAATGTCACAGTGAACCCCATATAGGTAGTTCCTCCAAAGTTTGAGCGCGAATACTACCGCCCTCAACAATAGATCATGAGTGGGGTAGTTGCGCTCGTGTACTCTCAACTGTTAGAAGGCATAAGCAGTAACGCGGCCCCGCAACATCAAAACATACCCTAGACCAAAACCGAAAGCATCACAATATACGGTAAAGCCCTCGCTCTCAACTGAAACGGTCAGGATAGGAGCGGTAGTAAGCAACTCCTTGAGCCTCCAAAAACTCAACTCACACTCCTCAAACCACACAAAAGGAACACCGTGACGAGTCAATCGATTCAAAGGTGCATAAATAGTGGAGAAACCCTCAACAAAACGCCAGTAGTATCCAGCCAGTCCAACGAAGCTCCTAACCTTAGTCACAGAAGTGGGCCTAGCCCAACCACGAATTGCCTCAATCTTTATCGGATCCACCATAATACCATCCTTGGACACTACGTGCCCCAGAAATGTCACAGACTCCAACAGAAACTCACACTTTGAGAACTTGGCATAAAGCTGCTGGTTTCTCAATGTCTAGAGCACAATCCTCAGATGATGCGCATGCTCCTCTCTGCTCTGTGAGTATACAAGAATATCATCGATGAAAACTATAATGAAGGAGTCCAGATAGGGCCTGAATAAATGGGTCATCAAATCCATGAAGGCAGCAGGGGCATTAGACAGCCCAAAAGACTTCACTAGGAACTCATAATGGCCATAACGAGTCCTAAATGCGGTTTTAGGAATATTCGATGCCCTAGTCCGCAACTTATGGTACCTGGACCTCAAGTAGATCTTAGAAAACACAACAACGCCCTGGAGCTGATCAAACAAGTCATCAATGAGAGGTAAGGGGTAACGGTTCTTCACCGTCACCGTGTTTAGCTTCCTGTAATTGATGCACATCCTCATAGACCCGTCCTTCTTCTTAACAAACAGAACGGGGGCACCCTAAGGAGATACACTGGGCCGAATGAATCCCTCATCCAGGAGACCCTGAAGTTGAATATCAAGCTCATTAAGCTCTGCGGGGGCCATCCAATAGGGTGGGATACAAATGGACTTAGTGCTCGGATCTAAGTCTATAGCAAAGTAGATATCTCTCTCCGGGGGTAGGGCAGGCAAGTCAGCAAGGAATATGTCGGGAAACTCACAAACCACCGAAACTAAGCCAACAAAGGGGGCCTCGCTAGATACATCACGTACATAAGCCAAATAGGCTAAGCACCTCCCAGCTACTAACCTCAAGGCTTGAACATAAGACATAATCCCAACCAGTGTGCGACTAAAAGACCCATGCCATACCACCTGGGGTATGACATGCATGGCTAAGGTAATGGTCTTGGCATAATAGTCCAAAACCGCATGATGAGGGCCTAACCAATCCATGCCTAGGATGGTGTCGAAATCAATCATATCAAGCATAATGAGGTCCTCCCGGGTATCCTGCCCGTGTAGAGTGACCACACAAGATCTACACACCTGATCCACTAATAAGGAATCTCCTACCAGAGTCGAGACACGCAACGGTTCTGCTAGAGGCTCAGGACTCATACCCAATCAGGGTGCAAAATATATAAATACATAGGAATAAGTGGAACCCGGATCAAATAAAGCTGAAGTTGACTGCTGACATAAGAAAAAATACCTATGATAACATCATTTGATGCCTCGGCCTCGGCCCTCACCGGTGCACCATAGAAATGGCCCTAACGGCCTCCCCTTCTAGTATTACCTCTACCGTCTCACCTGCCTCCATGGGAGCCACCTTAGAAGCCCTATTGATCACCACTACGGCCATGGCTTTGGTCCCTGCCCTTGGCTGGGGGTACTGCTGCTTCTGCTGGAGCTGATCGAGCTGTCTGGGAAGTGGAAGGCCTAGCCCTCCACCTAGGGCAATCTCTGGATCAATGGTCTAACCCGCCACAATCTTAGCACCTCTAGGAAGACCGGCCCACAGAGTAGCAACTGCTACGGCCCGTAGTACCCACATATGAAGGCCTGGTACTCTGAACCGCTGAATGTGATGAACCAGTCAGACCTGAAACAGCCAATTTCACATCTCTCACCTTCTGTCCTAAAATATAGGGAGGGCCACCCTGACCGAAGGCATCCTGCTGGTGTTGATCACCCTTTGAAGCATGGAGGGAGGCCTGTACCGGTCGGCTAGACTAATCCTGCTGGAACTGTTGCCGGGGCATGCCCTGATAATATCTAAACCTGTAACGGGGTCCACTAAATCAACCCTCATGCCGGATCCCTTTTTTCTGCCCCCTAAGGCCTCACGACGAAACTACTCGATGGAATGGGCGTGATCAACTATATCTATAAAAGAACGGCCCACTGTTACCAAAGAATGGGTCTCAACCCGCAACTGGGTCCTAAGACCTCAAACAAAACACCGGATCCTCTCCTCCTCTGTGGGTAATATCATAGTAGCATATGTGGAGAGCTCCTAAAATATTGCCTCATACTCAGACACGCTCATGGAGCCCTGCTCCAACCTTAAAAACTGATCGCAGAGCCTATCTCTAAGATTCCTGGGAACAAATCTAGCTAGGAAGGCCTTTGAAAACTCTGTCCAAGACACTAGAGGGGACCCGGCTGGCCTAGTCTCCTTATATTTCCACCACCACTGCCTGACAAGTCCGTCAAACTAATAGGCTATGAAATCTACCCCTCGTGTAACACTCCGGAAAATAATAGTTTAACTAGAGCCTAAATGTGAGGGTTAACATTAAGAGTTAAGGTGAAGGGCCAAGGTAATTGGGTGAGGTTCATGGAAAGGGGGCAAAGGCTGCAAAAGAAACTTGACCAAAGCACTGCCCCACCTCCACGAGGGTTTGCACGACCCATGGTGGCCACCACGCCCTGTGGGGCTACCCGTGAAGGGCTAGGCAGTAGCTCCCCAAAGGCTGCCAAGAAGTGCTCCTCATCACAACTCGTGGTGTTGACCACAACTCGTGGAAGGGAGTTAGTGGTGTGGGAGTTGGAGACTAGTAGCTAAGCCACTGCCTCAAGTCCCCAAGAGGGACCACGACTCGTGGTCTTGATCAAGTCTCTTGGAGCCCTTCGTGGAGTTGCCTTGGGCGTGTGAGCCTAAGGCATAAGTGACTATCTACCGCCTTAAGACCACGGATGGGACCACGACTCATAATCATGACCATGGCTCGTGGAGCCCATCGTGGTCCCTGGCAGCCCACTTAAAATGAAGGGCATTTTAGGGACTTCACGTTTTAGTCCAATGGGAGTGGGGTCGTTTTGGGGGCACTATCTATATAAGATATTTTTAAGTCAAACTCACCGAAGTTAAGTAATAATTTTGAAAAACCCAAAATATTTCCAAAAAGTTCATCTTCTATAAAATTTCTCATTCTAGAAAATCTCAAGAAAGAAGAAGAAGAAGATCAAGCAAGGGTTTGAAGTAGAGGCCTTTTCCACTCAATTTCGTGAGGATTTTTCATTGAGGTATGGTAGTAGTTGATCCATGGATAATTTTCATCCATGGAGTCCCTCCAAATTCAGTTTCTAAATTAGTTATTTCCCCCAAAAGTTAGGGTTTGCTTTCAATCTTATGGGTTCTTTCCAAAAATGTTTTAAAAGGTTGATTTATGATGGATTATGATTGAATTGATGAATTATTGTTGATTTATGATGAAAATCCCCCAAGAACCCATGAAACCCCATATTTCCCAATTTATGCCTTGTAGTGTGGGTGACTTGATGAAGAAAGAATATTATGAGCTTGTGCTTATAGTAATTTAGTTAATTGAATCATGTTATTATCCATATCTAATATTGTAATTCTAGATGTATTGGATGGAATGTGATCATTGACCCAAGAAGGGTAATACATGAGAATTTGTGAACATGATTATACTCTAGTTGTTGTGTTGATTGAAAGTCCATTCTCATAAACACAAAAGGAACATTGTGTGAAAGTTTTTCTCACTATATAATGATTCTAAGGTTGAGAGTCCATTCTCACATATTGAATCTATGAGCTATTTTATGAATTGTGTTTGGTGGAGGGTTTAGACACTCCTTCATGCATGTAAATGCAATTCAAGACTAAACATGTAATTGTGGGAAGTAATGCTTAGCACCAAGTGGATATTCAATTTGTGATAGAGGCTCTCCCATTAAGGAAGGTCGTGTGTCTAAGGTTAATATCATTTGATGGAAGCTCCCCCGTTTAGTAAGGTTTGGTTTCTTGTAACAATCTTTGTATCCCATAATTATGTGCCCTCATAGGTCTTTAGCTAGTGGATCCACCTACAAGATAATACATTTAGTTATACCTTAGGAAAGTAGGACACCTCTTTTCGCTGTGGGGCATGACACCGGATTCCATGTTAAGCTCACATGGTATATGTCGGTTAAGGATTATTCCCAATGTAATTAAAAGATTAATTATTAACTATGGTTCCTCAAGGAGTTTTACTTAGCATGTGTAAGATTATGGGATCTTACTTATGCATGGCAGAACTAGACTTTGAGAGGATTCATAGTTGGTTTCTATTATGTTGTGATGGTTTATATATTGAATATGCTTATATTCTAATTTTCATGATGATTCTCAAACTTGATAAAGTGCATGCTCTTCAACTAAATTGTCCCTTTTTAGCATATTTTCATGGTTTTTTTGCATCACTATCATACTTAGAGCAATTTTGTACTAACCCATATTTCTTCTACATTTTTCCACAAAGTGTAGGTTTCGGTGTTTGAGGTGTTCTTCCTTTGATGCAAGCTTGGATCGACTATTCTTATAGCTTCTGATGATTCCTCATGGATCAGAGGACGAGTGATAATTTTTTGTTCCTTTCATTTCATTGTATTTGACTTTTGGAATTATATTGTAAGGGTTGTGACCCTATTTTGAGAGGTCGATTGTAATAGAGGTTAAATGAGACAATGTCTACACTTCTACTTTGGTTTTTATGAAAACTTCTTAAGACTTGAGAAAAATATGTTTTTACTCTTTATTGTTCTTTACATATGTGATGAGATGCTAAGTGGCTTACATAGTGCCTTTAGGGGCATTATGTGCCTTGTTACGTGTAAAGGATACCCTTGGGTCGTGACAAACCTGGTAATCAGAGCAAAAGGTTTAGAATGATTCTAAGATGATGTCTCATAAGCCACGTCTAGTAGAGTCTTGTTCATGAGTATGAAGAGTGCCACATTTATGAATAAGAGGCTATACGATGTTAGGAAATTTCACTTTCTTCATTACTCTTAAGTTGTGCCTTAGAGTTTAACTCTATAAAAGTCCCTCTCCTAATCCTTCTCTTGTGTCTTCAGGAAATGAATACAAGAAGGGCTAACGCAAGAAGAGCAGAGGGTTACAATGTGAATGAGAAAGCTCTTCAAGGCAATCAAGCTCCGAATAATGGGCTATGACGGATTGGAAATTAGGTCCACTTTGCTAACATTGACCCAAGCCATGACGGTTCAAGCTTAAGCCGTGACAACTCAAGCCCAAGCCAATAGAGATAATGGGCCCTGAGTGAACACTCACATAAATTATATGTCTTCTAGATGAAGGGATTTTTCTAGGATGAATCCCCTCGAGTTTCTTGGTTCCGAGGTGGAAAAGGATCCCCAAAGGTTTATTGATGAGGTTTGCAAGATAATTGGTGCTATGGGATGTCTTCGGAGGAGAAGGCAGAGCTAGCCGTCTACCAACTAAAAGATGTAGCTCAAGTTTAGTATGAGCAATGGAAGGGTGAGAGGCCAATAGGAGCGGCTCCCATAGATCGGGAGGTGTTCAAAGAAGCATTCCTTGATAGGTTCTTTCCCTAGAGTTGAGGAAACGAAAGATGCAAGAATTTATTAACTTTCATCAAGGGGGTATGAGTGTGAAAGAGTATTCTCTCAAGTTCACCCAACTTTCCAAGTATGCTCCA